TGCCCGCCAGGTGGCCTCACCTTGCACTTGTAGCAGTGCCACCACGTGAGTGCCTGTGGCCTCACAAGAATAGATGCCAATGTCACAGGGCAGGGCTGGCCTGAAGGTCAGCCTGGCCACAGTCCAGTCCTGCTCTATGATGACACGGTGCCCATCTGCGGGTACCTCCCGCTCGTCCATCTTCCATGTGGCCTGCACCAGCTGTGGGTATTGGCAGAGGAGTTCGGCAGAGTCACCCTCCTCCACTGCCAGGTCCTGCATGGCACTGACCACCTCCACCATAGGATCTGTCGGCCAACATGCCGGACACACATCAGCCCTGAGGAACAGCACCACCATGGCCCACCCACCTCAATCAGTGTTAGTGGCTTCAGCGGCTGCAAGCATGGAGCTTCATGGTGACAATTTAGCAGGAGCTGCCTGGCATGCGGCTAGGAAAGGAACCCACACCGCAGCCCAGAGCCCTCCATTAGACACACCTCACCCATGAGCATAGTGCCTAGGCTTCACCTCTGTCCAGGCAGAGCTTCTCTGGCCCCACATACCTGCTGGCCCCCAGAAACATACGCCACTGGAAAGGCTCCTCTGGATGTCCTAGGGCCTGCCCCAGAACCCAGAACCCCTGCCCTGCTTGCTCCTCTCCAGGGGCTTTGCTGCCAACCCAGGGCCCCCATTCCATCTCCATTTGTTGAAATCTCAACACATTTTACATGACAGCACACAGCAGGCACCAGGCAGAGCTGTTGGGAAGAGGCTAGGGAGACCCTAGCAGCTGCTGCTCTCCCTGTCTGGCCAGCTCCTCCCCAGAAGGGCACAGATCTCAGCTGAGCTCACAGCAGAGGAGCATATGTGAGCAGGGACACGTAGTCCAGGGCCAAGGGCATGGGCCTCCCCTCAGAAGCCCAAAAAGGCCCCCGAAGGGACTGGCCCCTGTGGCTGGGGATGTTCAGCTAACTAGGTGACTGGTGGCCAAGCAGGCGGCAATGCACTGGCACTACCTGGCAGGTGGCAGTGGACCTAGCCTCCAGCTAGATCTCCCATTCAAAAGTAAGAGCTGCCCACTGTGCCTCCTGGGGGTGCCCAGGGTAGGTGGCACATGTAGAGTGATGCCCAGCCTCTGGCTCTGGGGACAGTCCCCACCCTCAGTGTCCATCCTCCCTCTTTCCCCAGGAGCCTGCAGGAAGCATGTGGCAGCAGGAGCAGAAGCACCAGCATGGGGAAGTCCCCAGTGGTCAATACATTTGACCAATAACTTGGCTGTGGAGACGAGGGGCCCTGTGCAAAATGTGACGGTGCCTGAGTCGGCCACCCCAAGGCCCGAGAGTGTGAGGGAGTGAAAGGTCCCATAACTCACAGTGATGGCACTTTGGGGACTGTCCTGTAGCAAGGTGCCATCCAGCCACCAG